GATCAAAAATGACAATTTTTTCGACAACTCAGCCATTTCTTGACGGATCCTTCTCATCTTCGAACTCGACCTAGATATTGATAAGACAATTCTGTGCACAAAATTTCAGCTCAATCGAATGTAATTGTGAAGAGTTATCGAATAAACGGACGGCCGGACGGCCGGACACACTGACCGATTCTATAGTGTACTCTTTTTTTTTTGAGTACACAAAAACGGTCGAAGAGTTCGAAAAATCTAAACTAATTTCTTTCGAATAAATGTACTATTTTTTTCCTAGTGAACCGATAAAATTGTAGCAAAAAGAAAATATTAAGAGTAGCATATATTTATTCTACAATGATTATCTTAATAATAATTGTTTTTCCTTTTTGCACAGTAAGTTCAATCGTACAAGATTTGTCTAACAATGATTTTGAATGTTATCCATTACCAGAAATTTTAATACGCTATCGTAAAGTGTGTCGATATATAAATATGTTAGAAGAATTCTGCAGTGCTAATTCAGAACAATCGTCATCAGTATTGTCATCAAATGTCGATGTTAATCGAATGTACATTGCTCAATATAATCAGTATTCATTATTTCATTCCATGTCAAAGTAAATTTATTTCTAAAATCTATAGTTTGATTTTTATGGAAAAAAATATATACATTTCTATCTTCTTTTAGACTACTCGATCTTTCACTTGTGTGGTTTAAACAGCATTCATCAAAGAATGATTCTAATAATAATAATAATAATAAAACAGCGGCAGCATCATCTAGTGATAAAAAGGATGATTCAAATGGCATCAAACCTCCAAATAATTGGGATATATTTCGTGATGGATGCAAGACTATTATGTCCATACTTCTCATTCTAACGAATGATTGTGGTTAGTAGAATCGCATAATCTACGATGATTGTATAATTTAAACAGAATTGTTTTTGAGAGATCACGTGCATCCTTGAGAAGAGTCTCGAGCTCGACTAATTTCTGTCCTAGAATAAGGCTGTCGTAAAAGTGTGTCGTTCATGTCTATTGACATATTCAATGTTCTAATTTCAGGATAGAATAGTTAAATAAGACGACCTATGATCTACTCTACCATCTATTTTTCTTTCTTGAGCATTTCGTAGGCGCTTGTCAATCATCTAAATAACATATTTCTGTATTTTAGAGACTCATTGCGATCGTTTAACGTCTGATGATCGATTTTTTTCAAATCTATTTCGTCTATTAGTTACTATCCAGCAAAGTTCATTAACTAATGAAGAGCAATTCGATGCAGTTGCCTTGGTTTGTTTTTCTACATAAAAGTTTCCATTATCTTTCCTTTTCTTTCGTAGACACTTAACTTGCTCATCAATTTAGTAAAAAATACAAAAGATGTTTATAAACATTTAATGGAAGATAATATGCCCGGTGGAAGTACCACGAAAATCTACGAATATCTTGCCGATGTAAGTTTTCTAGTCGAATATTTGTTTCTCAAAGCTGAATTTTCTTTTCAGGTATTTTGTGAACAAGAATCTTTAGCGGCTAAAGCTGAGTCTCAAGAAGAAAATGATTGGATGATGGAAGATGGTGAGGGCGATTTAGATGAACGTTTGGGTATAAAGAATCCAAAAAATAACAACGAAAACGAAGCAAACTTTAATCTTGCTCTACGAAAAGCAGCTGGCCATATGGAAAATACATTTGTTGCAGCTTTTTCTGGTATTATTCTTGCTGTTGTTTTATTACGTGATCGTGCAACATATGCATCACAAATACGAACATTGATGCCACAGAAAAAATTCGATACTATGGCATTTATTTTAAAGAAATTCTTTCTCTTTATGCATCTTTCGGTATGTTGAGTTTTAAATTTTTCATAAAGAACAATTTTTGTATTTTTCTTAGCATGCATTTACACCATCTGGCGTGAAAACTCTCGAGGAACTTATAGCAATGGTCTTGTCATTATGTGATTAATATGCTGATAATTTTTCTTTTTCTATTGTGTTCTGCTTGTAAATACGTAGAGGATATATTTTTCCAATAGTGAACAGGACTCAAGCTCTATTTGTATGTAGTTGTGTTTTTTTTTTCTTGTACTCTACGCACAAATTAGTGTTCTTGCTGGCTGTATTTTTTATATAGAGAGATACACTAACGAAATACACAATTGATGAAAGTGAAAGATAGACAAGAGAAAAAAAAACAGTTTTTCGATTTGCTTGTATCACTAGCGTTGGATAATTTTGTATGGAGATGAATGTTTGGTAGCTTCATGGGATGTAGACGACACTAAAGACGATTCCATGACATCCCATAGAGCAACTTTATCTGTGTTGATCGATCTTGAACTATTCGAGGGTGAATATTGTTTGTCAGTGGATATCCTAAATGAAATATATCGGTTTCAATCAAGAATAAGCCAACGGGCGCATAGGAACATTTCTCCCCTAGTCTTGGGCTTAAGAATGGTTCGGACAAAAAAAAGTATGATTGTAAATGATACTTTTCTTGCTTAGTTTTTCACCAAAAACAATCCTAATACTGAGTCATCGATTGAATTCTAAAATATTTTCAATCGATATTTTCGAAACGAATATATCTATGAAAGAATTTTTTGGGCGATTGTTTATGAGAAAAATTCACCGTTGTAATTGCATCGGCTTTTTAATAGTAGTAGCTTCGTTCGACAGCGGTGAATCAACCGAAGAACTATTTGATTGTAAGTCTTCACCAGTTTTCTTGTCACTGTTCGAACGAGATACAGATTTTCTTTTATTAGATTTTAGAGATTTTGATGAATCTTTTTTCTTGAATTTCATATTACTGACAATTATGATAACAATTATCAACATAAAAATACCAGCTATAACAATAATAATAAATAATAATTGTTTACGGTTTAAAGCTGTTGCACCAGTTGTAATATTCAATTTTGACGGCGCAGTATTATTCAAGGCTAAACAAATAGATAGAATAAGCGGAAAATGTCATAAACTACCTGATGTGGATAATTGTTGAGAGGTTACGAATGATTGATTATCGGTAATAAGATTTTTCTTTATGGTTGTAGTTATTAGTGTACGTTTAATAGTAGCAAAAAGAAACGAGAGAATGGTTTGATCATAAAATCTTGCTGGATCTCCTTCAATGAAATTTATTTGAAAAATAATTTCGATAAGACATTTTTTGAATTTATACTATTCACCAACGATTTCGCAAAGGAATGATTGTTTACTTGTTTCCAGCAGAGAAACAAGACATGCATCAGTTGAATCATTCCATCGTTTTAATGCTTGAAAAGTTATGTTTAAACCATCATCGTGCTCAAATGACGGCTCAGCCGGAATTATTATTGAACCCCACTGTTTTTCTTTACACCACATTGGACTAGTACTTGTATAAGAATTACCAGAATTATTTCCAAATTGATAAGCCCATTCTATACAAGAGGTAAAATTAGTTGTGAGCGAGAAAAATACATGTAATTAATTCTTCTTTATATGCATACGGAATAGCGTCGGTTTTCTTTCAATAGGAGTAACTTTTCACCTTTAGTTCTCGATTCTTTATAATGGAATTTAGAAAATAAAATTTACTATTTATAGACTGTAGAGTTCTATACGTTATCTCGTTTCCGAGATTCTGTGGTTTTGAAATAGAGATATTTTGCAAGATGAACTTACTGTCAGTCGAACTTCCTCTTCCAACACTGCCAATGAATGCAGTTGCACTAGAAAATAGTTCTTTTTTATTATTATTTACTTCGATTTTCATTTGATTGTCTGGTAAAATGTTTTTAATAGATTTTTGAATGAAATAAAATTCATTTAGATTATTAATTTCAAGTAATTGACTTGTTGAATTCATTTCTCTACATTCACTTACAGCATCTAACCAATGTGTTATTGCAGTTTTATGATAAATACAAAAAATATCTAAACCAAAAGGTATAAGATTTTTTATTTTTAAAATGTAAATCCTTACAAAGATTGATCCATCCCGTTGGACATGGAATACAATTTTTTGTATATCCAGCCCAGAATGCATCGGATGGACATAAACAATGATTTAAACGACATTTTAAACCTGATGTTGAACATGAACTATCGTCAGTACAATGCTCATTAAAACACCAGACAACTATAAACAATAGTAGGATTTGTGCTCTGGATAACAATAAAAACAAATAGTTTACTTGATATGACAAGAAATAAGCAAACGGCATGAAAATTACTAAATGAATAGTACGGAATCATGTCTTTCAACAGTATTACGGTTTATATGTGGCGCGAAATATTACTATTTTATTATTATTTTTTTCATGATTGTAAAAGTATTCTGTATAAATTATCATGATTTTAGCTTCACGGCTTATAGGCGATTTATAAATTTCGATATGTATATGCGAATTTTTTAAGTCGAAAAACTCCGCTAAGCTTCTTGATGAAAAATTTGAAACAGCTGATTTCGATTTTTCATTTTACAAGACTCGATTTGTAATATAAACAAGCTTGAAGTCTAATAGACTTCTTCATATGAATGTGGGCCTACTAAGAATTATTTTCTTACATTTCTTTAGTTGATGGCTAATGTCTTGCACAGCTGTCATTGTATCATTCATTTTATTGCTTCATGTCTATTTTTAGTTGATAGATTGAATGTCAATCCGAACAAAAAGAAAAAGGTTCAAGTCTTTGTTTGAAATTTGAGGCTATGTTCTCTAACACTCACGATCATCCAAAGCTTCTCTCGTGTTTATCGGAGCAACAAAACTATTATGAATTTAAATTATTCCATTCATTATATAGTTGTTCCATTATAATCCGTGATAAATTTTCATTTATTATGATAAAAAAAAACGTTTCTATATTATGCCAGGTACTTTTTTTTGACAATCAATGTTCAAATTGATCATAGCGTAAGTAAAAAAAAGAATTATTTGTCAAACATTAATGATTAATACAACGCAACATGATGAAATTCAAAGTTTCATTAGTGTCAATTTTTTATTATTACATCATGAACAAGATCATCTACTCATTATTCATGTCGATCGTATACCTTTTGAATATAATATCTGTTTTATCTTAGAAAATAATTGGTCCTTTTTTAGACTTCCAAAATTACCCCAGCGGCATTTTGTTTTTGAACGATGTACTCTTGAGACATTTATAATTTATTACTGACATTGAGAACATCGAATAAAAGACGCGAATTGATCTGGAGCTTTCTTTTTAAATATTTATGTTTATCATGATTTTGAAATGAAATGATAATATCTTTTCTAACGGCAAAATTTACCAATCAAAACGATCTTTTGTCTGGCTTACACACTAGAGCCCTGCGAAGTCAAGTTTTTCCGACTCCGGGAAAATTTCTGCCAGTAACTTCGACTCCGACTCCACTCCCGGGAAATTTCTTTTTTTTGACTCCGACTCCGGCGGAGTCGGGTTTCGGAGTACCGTGCAGGGCTCTATTACGCACACGACAAACTGATGATCCGTACTTTCGAATAGAATATTTATAACGTACATTCAACGATACTAGTCGTGCGTAATGAAAATTACATTCCTTGAAATGATTTATTTAATTCACTATTGTATCGTGCATTTAACGACATATTTTAACATTGAATCACAGCTATTTATAACTCGAGTATCGACATAATGTGTGAAAATATGTTACACATATAGCATGATGTACAAATAAGAACAGATCAAAGCTTGCTCCATGAATACTTTTTGCTTCTTTAAAAAAGAAAATAATTTTTTCTCCTCTGTGCCCATAGTAAGTTACAAATCAGGGTTCGTAACATTTTCTTTTTTTTATCGTTTCAATGTTCTAGTTACGTAAAAGAGATATCTACATTTTCGAGACTGATTCACATATAAATCGATGATAGATGTGATTGCAATATGATCTAATGTTCAATGCTTGTAAAAATCACTTGTAGAGATAAACAACTACTAATCGTTTCTATGTCGGCAGATCACGTTGATCTGATATTAGCGCGTTGCTTGTTTCTCCAATAGGAATCGATATCTTGGTCTTAGACATCTATTCATAATATATCTTGTAGAATAAAAGTATCAATCAAATTCAAGTACATATTACTACAGGGATTTGGTTTTTTAGGTGCTCTCATTTATTAAAAACTATTTTCTTTTCCTGTTGGATTGTTGATGTATGTGAGTTGACCATGAGACAACATGATCATTTGTCATAACTGGAGTATTGTTCTTCGTGCTAATCTCTTTTAGTTTTATTACTTAGACTCACAATGAATTTCTTTCGTGCTCGTTCCTATCTCTTTCTCCTTGCTTTTTTGATGAATAGTTTGTATTAATCGACATCGACAATACATAAAGAATAAGAACAAAAAATATTGACGAGGCAATATCGAGTGGGCACTACTGTTCACAGTAATGTCACTGTCGATTTGTCATCGAACACTATCTAATAAGAAACAGAAACGTATGGCTCATTAGAAGCCATTTACAATGTGCAAATTGATGACACTAATGTATCGTGAGCGAATCTGCGTTGGTTTTTTTTGCGGCTATGTACTTTATTCTGATTGTTAATTCTTTTTATTATACTGCTTACCACCAATTATATATCTATATGTATGTATATTCAAGGTTATCAAAGCTCAATTAAACATATGAATAACAGGCAATGATGTTTGAGTAAGATCGACATATTGCAAAGTGATCTAAGGTTAGATATTACGAGTACAAAAATAAATATTGTTGCACAATACTCATTTAAGAGTATATAGATATCAGTACAATATGCACAAGGAATTAAGCTACATTCCAGGAACGACAAGAATTTGTTTGGATTAGAGATCAAGAATGTAAAACACAAAAAAATCGTAACTTCAATTATTTTTTTCTAGTGTAGATGCATGTATAACGTCCTCACGAGAAATATAAACTAATCTTTCGATAACAATCAATGCGCGATATTTATTTTGAAATATCAATAAACATACAGTGACCTATTTTCACGTCGTCTGGTTGTTCAGCTGGGAATGTGTAAATAGTTATATGCAGCATATCGATTATTTTAGGGTTGTTTGTAATAAGGAGAGGAAGAAAAAAACTACGGATCTCACGTAAATATAAATTTGCGCTCTTTTACTCTGACGCCTCGTCATTTCGATAATTTATTACTTTTCTTCTCTCGTATTTCCATGTCCTACGCAAATGATTCATGGCCATTCCTACATAAAACCTATTGTCACCTGCTGTTGAAAAGAGATCAACATGCAATTCTAAAAGAGCAGATGCGTAAGCCTATGTCAATAAATCATCTTGTCAAATTTTTTTTTCTCTCTCTCTCTCTCTAGATCTTTACATGTACGTATAAACGAGTTGTCTCGTCACACTGATTGTCAACTATCCATAAGCTTGTTGGTATGTGCACTCGTTTTTTCTCTCTTCATCATCATTGATATCTAACTAATACAATATGTTGTTCTCTGTCCTATTTATCTGGCATAGAGATGATCGGATTTCACCTTCTCGGATGATATTTTTCTGTGTCCTACAGCACAATTCTTGAAAAAAAACCATTACCATTTATCATACATTCGTTCGTGTTTTCATCACTGTTGCCTAAAGTTTTAGTTTTTGCAATCGTGATATTATGTCTAGAAGCCATAGAGAACAATGCAAAGAAAAACTGCAAACTTCATTGGTACTATTTGTCATGTCTCTTTAGATTTCTTCATGTTCATACTTGTTTACTTGTGGTGATTATTCTTACTCCTCATGTTACTAGTTCCTACGAGCCATGCACATATGTTCATGCGTGTCTCATTATTCTTTTTTGACAAAAGAACAAGGTAGATTTTCGATAGAGAAGTAATAATCTATACGGATCTTATCTCATGGGAATTATTCGAAGACAGAATAATGAATAATATTCGTCCAATCTAGGTAAAGCATATATTTATGGTAAAGGAAAACAAAATCTGTGGTTTTAATTGAGTTCCTTGGTAGCAGCTGTTCTATTATTTACATCGAAGAGATATTTTTTTAAATATATGTATATAAAATAACGATTGCTTCAAGGTAAACATATGAGATCTAAATAAGAACGAAAGGATTTTTTGAGAATACTAATTCTAAAAAGTATATTTACATAAATCGATAAGACTTGTTTTTTTTCTAACAGACAGAGACAGATAAGTTTAAAATCTTAGTAATAAAACATTATGAGAATCTTATCATCTGATAAAGACAAGATTATTTTGATTCGATAGTTTTTGTTTTTTTTCTTCTTATTATTTTTCTATCCTTTATGACTCATTTACATGCAGCTACATAAAACACAAACCATGCAAGTATCCATCGAATATTGTCTTTATAAGGTGCACTCGGAAAGTCAAGTGTTTTTTTGATATTTGTTTAGAAAGAACTTGAGAATTAATTTATTGTTTTCTTTTCGCCTCTTCACGTTTATTTTCTTTGTCTAGTTAAACGATTAGTATTATTTCGACTTGATAATACATATTGGGATTTAGCGTTTATAAACATCTAAATGTGATGTGTTTTCTTGTTATTCATTTCTATTCATCATTGTTATCATCTACAAGACAACAGGAGCTACATTTTTAACTTATCGATGATAATATCTACACTTGCAAATAGGCCGATACATGTGTTTTCGCTGATATATCAGTAACAGCTACACAACAAGTTTTCATTTCTCTCTCTCTCTCTCATGTTATGCCTCGTCAATATTTGGACAAGCACATAGGATACCACTTTTCTTTCTTTCTCTCTCTCTCTATTGATTGCTGTTTATACAGATTGTTAATAGGGAGACAATTCCTGTCCTTCACATTTTTCTTCATCGTCGATCATGCACACTGTGACTTATGTCCTTGAAGATCAAAACAAATCATATAGAAAGAAAAACGAGAACTATGCACATCGGTTTGTTTGTCAGATTGTAAAACATTATCCGCTACGAGGCCATTAGAGAAACAAAGCTACTGTTAATCCGGAAGGTATATGTGCAGAATCGAGTAAACGTGTATTTGTTGTTGTGCGCAAGCGCATGTCAGACAACACCATCGATGACAATCTATGTTCGTGGTCGTGGTTTTGGAGAAAAAGAAGAGGAAGAAGAGAACAGATGATGCCAGCAATATAAAGGTGAGTAACGAGCGAGGGAGGAGAGTGCGCAAAAAAAACCAGCGAAGAGAATCATGTCTCCTGATCTCTTTCTTTCGCTCTCCCTTTCTTTTTGTTCTCCTTCAATAATATCATTCGACATTCCGATGCAAACATTCTCGTACGAAGTGAACCATGATCGATGTATGTGTGTGTGTGTAATTGTACATGTAAGAACGATTCGCACATGCTGTAAAGAGATTTGCGTCGTAGAATATGAAATTGAGATGCCTAATATCGTGTCGGTTTACTTTCTCTCTCATATACCTGCATCATCATCGGACAATCGCCTTTTATGATTCAGTTCTTTCTTTTGCACTCTCTCTCTCTCTCTCTCTCTCTCTCTGTTGTTCTTCTTTTGTAGTTTAAAAAGGTACGCAAAACAATGCATTTATGTAAGCGTCGCACTTTGTCTATCGCTAAGTCAGATGATGTCTTTATCTATGATCCCGTTAAACGAGTAAATTATTAGAAGATTAGATTGATCTATGCTACAAACAAAAAAAGACTGAGCTAATAAGAAAAAGAAAGAGAAAAGGCAACGAAAGAAAAAAAAGAGGGCATTAGATTGAAAAGACACGAGTAAAAGAATGCCATAATATAGGAAAATATAAAAGGCGCATGTACATGTCCCGCTAGCATCATTTTTCATGAACCATAACTTCTTCGTCGATTTGTTTTATTGCTTTGAATTTTCTTTTATCTTTATAGATTTATTTACTTGAAAAACATATAAATTTTGACCTATGAACAAGTGAATACATGTATTGACACAATCAATTTTATTTCTTCAAAAAACAACCATGAAATATTTTATATCGAACAGTATTTTAGTCTTTTTATCGCTCTATTCGACAATAGCCTTTAGCAACAATCGTGAAAACCTAGCTCAACGTCATCCATGCTATTCGGTTAACAAACTTCTGAAACCCTATATAAAATGGACTGAAAAACTTGCTAGTACTCAACATAAGGGTAGGTTTGATACTTTTCTATGAATATTTGGTCATTAAATATTAGTGAAGCGTAAGCAATTTATTTGATATATGTGCACCGAATACAGCTTTCATCTAACAATGTTAGCTTGAAAAAGAAAAACAGTCGGAATTCCACAATAATTCAATATGTAATTAGTCGTCGAGGTGGAAGATTTATTTGTAGCACAAAAATAAATTAACCAACAATATTTGCTTTTCTCTAAACGTTTGTTTTTATCTTGCATAGATAGTAAAATTAATAGGTATAGGCTATTAAAAAACAATCAAGTTTGACTTGCTTCGGATCGGAAAATGATCCTCGAACGAAAATATCCTATTTTTCTTTGTTTCTATTCAATGCACGTATTAGATGTCGTTAATCTATATTAAAAATGAAAGATAAGGAATAAGATGCTGCTTGACAGATCAATTGAGGTTCCATTAGAGCATCAAGCCGGATGTCCGCTAGTGTTCTAGTGCTCGTTCATCAAGCAAAATAATAATTATAGTCAACCGAAAAGAGTGATGATTTCGTGCCGGACGGTTTACATAAAATACAATTGCGTAAAATAGTGTCAACAAAAAAATGATGAAATTTCTTTTGCGTGAAAACCATATAAAATTTTATCCAATTGATACGATGCCGAAGAACGATAATTCCTATGGCTTCAACATGCCTGAATTTATCCATAGAAATTTTTAATAGAATTCAATGTAGCTACAAGAAAAAGAAAAGCCATTAAAATTGTTTTTATAGTTCAAACTGATGCTTGTGGCCAAACAAAATCCAGTCCAGCGTGTTGTACAAATGAAATATTTAATTCTTATGCATTCTCACTTGCTATTGATCTTAAAAAATTATTCGACGCTGAATTAGATCATCTAGCAAATGGTCTTTCATTAGCTAATAAGCAAACTGATAGTAAGTAATTATTTTCATGATCTATTGCCTAATCAATTAATTCAATTTCAATAATAATAATTAGTTCGAATAGCAGAGTATGTTAAAGAATTCCGTCATATAACTCTATCGTCACTAAAAACTCTATTCGGCACTAAAGAATATCATTCAAATATTCATAATGCAACATCGACGTTGTTCGATATTCTTGCTGATCATCAATCGACCGATGACGATGTTTCGAAATCAGCTGTGAATTTATTTACTCAACTTATTTTATCTGCTTACCGACGATTTATGACAGATGACGATGATGTAATACTTGATGATAGTTTTAAGAGATGTCTTGTAAATAAAGCATTCGATATTGAAGCATTACCTACACAACGTGAATTACTTTATACATTAACAAGTGCAACGTCATTAATCAAAATTCTACGAACGTTATTTATTTATGTTGATGCTGACATTCAACGACTTAAAACAACTGCAACACTCAATTCTCAACAATGTCTACAACGGTATGTAAGAGAAACATTATGTCCAATATGTGTGAGTACACCGTCGTCATCAATCAACCATGATAGTAATGCGAATGACCCATTATGTGAAAATGATTGTCGTTATGTCATAAAAACATGCTTTAACGAAACAAGCAATGCTTACATAGCGTTTGCTTCGATAGCTCAGGGTTATTCGGATGTTATTAAACAAATTCAGGAACATGCTATTGAACTGAAGGTGAAATATAGTCTTATTTTCACGAGAACAAAAAGAAAACATAAAGAAATATTTTCCCTTCTAGGTTGTTGATCGTCTTTCAAAGCTACATATTTATCTATATGATATGGTTGTGAATGCAACCAATACTGAAAAAACTTACCGCCAATTACAAAATGCTTGTGCAAATACAAATAAAAAACCATTTCAGCCTATCGTTTCATTGCCGCCAATTACAAGTGAGCGACGTGAACGTGTTAAAGAATGGAATGTATCATTATATTTTATGCTTGATCAACTGCAATCATCGATTATCAATCTTAATACAAGTCTTACACAACAGATCGCTGCTAATATTTGTTCTAATACACATTATGCTGTCAAATCAAGTCGATGTATACAAATCGATCAACATACGCCTGGGTACGTTTTTTGATAAGAAAATATTAATATGCATAAGAATTTCAACTTAAATTAACCGAATTACTCGAGAGGAAATATGTAAAGTGATCAGATAATTTCTTTCCGAGAGTCATTACATTAATAAAATATGTCAAATCATGAATTTAGTTCAAATGAACAACAAACATGTGCACTGTAAAATTAGATTTATATAATTAAGTACTTTTTTTTGTATGTTTGAAGTGTAACTGAACTGTTGTAGGGGTGTGCAGTGTCGGTGTACTGACTACGCCGGCAGTGTGCGCAGTGGAACACCGACCACACTGTCACCGGTGTCACTGAAGCACTGAAGATAGGGGACACTGACGGCCCCGGCATCGGTGTTCAGTGAAACACTGATACACCGATATCTTTCTGATTGACTAAAGACTTCAGCCAATCAAAAGCTGTCGGTTTGTCAGTGTTTCACTGACCATCGGTGCTTCAGTGAAGTCGGTGCACTACTGAGCACACTGTCAATTGAATCGATGTTCCCCTGTGCACGCTGTCGGTGTAGTCGGTGATCAGTTTTTCAGTATTTACGCCGACACTGCACATCCCTAAACTGCTGTCGATCATTACCTGTTTAGAGGGGTTTGGTGGAAAACGTCGAAAAGGAAAATGTCGAAAAAAAGACAAAGAAAACTTCCATATATGGATATTTTCTTTGTCTTTTTTTCGACATTTTCCTTTTCGACGTTTTCCTTTTCGGCGTTTTCCACCAAACCCGTTTAGAGAGTGTGTTGATTAGGATAAAAAAAGCATAAGCAACACTTTTTTATGATCAAGAACTATTACATGTCGTTGAAATATCGATTTTCATCCTTGAGAAACATGAAATCGACTTCAATACATAGTTTTGATTTCGAGCAAGTGCATACGGCCCTCTCGGACATCCATTTTCGATTGCTCGAGGGCAAATGCAAGTCTAAAATAAAAGCGTTTTCAAGTGATACGGTTTTTACAAATATTTGTCTGAATTTCAATAATTTTTAAATCCTTCGTGTGTAAAATTATATTGGTGAAAACAGAGGAGTAATTAAATGTTGTGTTATAAATCTTTGATGAAATTCACATTATACTATGTCTCAAGAATGAGGCATTAGTTCCTTGTTTTTACTAAGCCATCGACCTATGAGAAGTCGATGATTATGTTTTAAATGTCGATGAATACGGCAACCTCAAATCGAAACATCTACCGAACGATCACTTGGGATTTGTGTTGATCTTACGCCCATGCTGATATATTTGACACCTGTGTAAGAATGAATTAGAAAGCTTAGACCAAATCTCACGGTGAAAAATAATATTTAGAAGTCATGTCGGCTTTTTGAAGAAGTACCCAAATAAGTCGTGATACATTTTAATAGAGCTGCCGCGACGGGACACTAGCAAATGCTGAGTAACGTAATGTTTCGGCATTTTTTTGAAGAAAATACTATTGTCATTAAGAATACGTCTGTGTTCTTTTGGCCTTCGAATTATTCTCTCTGCATATCCTCGTTTAATTTCATGTTGTGACAGTTAAATATTAATTCAGAGAGAACATGTAAACAATAAATAATATGAAGTTTTGTTTACGGTCGTAAACAGCCATGTGACATTCTATACGACCATTTCTTTCACAGTTTACGCATTTGAATATAAAAATCTCATATTGTCGAAACTGCCGATAGCATCATGAGAGTATAGAATTAGAAATATGAAACAAAACGTAGATTTGATACTGTCGCTCTAGCGCACCATGGCAATAAGCAATTATTTTAATCGTGCCATACATGTTCGGTTGTTTTCTATCAAGAAAATAGAGATCGACAATCGTAAAATATCGATTAATTTTCAAAACAAAACTTATCTTTCAAATTCATTTTTTTTCCACAAGATGTTATGCGACGGTAATGCGACAATAATATTATCAGATTTGATCAGTTTCAAAAGACTTCACTAACGTAAGAAGCGTATAGCCTATGTCGCGTTGCTATGAACTTGATTAACAGAAAGAATTCCAGTTAAAAAAATTCTTTTTCATATAGTGATTTAATACAATGGCCTCTTCCAACACTAGACTCAAGCTTACAAATAACATCAAATCTAGTTGTCGAATCAACACGTAATCAACTAGATGAATTAAAAAAAAAGTTGACACCTGTGCAACAAATCATTGTCTCGCTTCGACCAAAGAAAAAAATGTCCCTTTACGAATATTTGCCCGACTTTGAAGTTGATGGTGATGTAGTAGACTCAAGCAACGAGGGCGATATACAACCACCATCATTACCTGAAATATATGAAACTGAACATCAAGAATCACTTAGTGAAAAACTTTATAATGAAATAGATGCACAAACTACACGTATGTATTCATTGAATAGATCATATCAAGGCATTCGACGGCTTCATTTTGAACTCTAAAGTTAAGTCGCAAAAAATTTAGCAGCAGACGAAAGAACTGGTCGTTAGATCTATTTGACACGAGAAAATTTGTGAAAGAACAGTGTCATCATGAGTACATTCTTCCGGTTTATTGAATTATGGCCTGTCAAACGGAGCCCGCCTAGACTCGTTTGATAATGAAATTCTCTAACTTTTTCTTTTATATCACTTTTAGGCCGACTACTCATACAAACAACAGACTATATTAAAGAAAATGGTAACAATCGCTCTCAATTAATGACATACAATATCACATTACATTTACTTGTTTTTCTTGTTTCGGTCATTCACCAAATCTCGTTCAGTCGTCAATGAACAAGATTTTGAATCATGAGCTTGTGAAGCCTTAGTTTTAAATAATTTCTTCGTTGAATTCTGTACAGCAATAGCACTTATTACGTTATCATCGATCCGATATTCCTTATCTATTTTTGTTTTCTTGTTTAATAATGTCCGGTGTTCTGTCGAATATTCGCCCTTCTTTTTTCTTCTTCTTCTGTTTTGCTACTACCATGAACAGTATAGATATTTTGCACTCAATAAAAGTCTTCTTGAATATTGATGTCAAAACCAATACTATTGTTTATTTCACATGGAAACAAGAAAGAATTCAACTCATTGATTCGCTAATTCAAAATCGGAAGAGAATTAAAATCTGAAGCTTTTCATCATCGGAAAATTCATTTCCTTGTTGAAACTCATTAATTTGTATACAAAGCGATCTCTCTTCCGTTGCCTTGTTTGATAGAAGAAGAAGAAGAAGAAGAAGAAGAAGAAGAAAAAGGCTATAATTTTTCATCCTTTGTTAAGTAAAAAAAACCTATGAATAAATCTTCTCTATCATACAATCAAAAAGACATTTTCGATAATAAAACGCTTGACATTCTTTGAATGATTTCACACGTTACAAATCTGTTTTTATAACTGTCATATGGGTATGTACCCACAATCAACTAGCACTTTATTCATTTATTTCTCAGTCGACAGTTAACTTCCGTTACTCAATATTTTTTCTAAATCTTTTTGTCTCGAACAAATTTTGTAACATGATAAAAGTTCATTATGTTATTCTGACAGAGAAAAAGAAACAACAAGACTAAGAATGTTATCCTGCATACGATTAGTGGACTATTTTAAGAAATTTATTTCCACAATAGGAAAAAGAAACCTTTATAAAACCTAATTAAGCAAAGAATCACTGATGCATTATTATGTATCATTGTCTGTGTAGTTGTTAAACTAAAAATAAAGATCAAATAAGGATCAGCAATTTGTATGTGATGTTTAAAAGATCATAAAAATTCGAACGAACTATGCTATAGAAAGAATTTTCAATAATATATTATAATTAAGATGGAAAATATTTTTTTATTGGCATTGATATCAAATGAGATCAAGTCGATAATGTTGATCTCATCTGACTATAATCGGCGAATTATTCAATGAGTCGATTAGTTTGATCTGGCAACATTGACTCATATCGACAGAAACTAAATCATTTTTCATTTGCCTCTAATATAACAGTCGATAAAATGTCATATTGACCTTATCATAAATACGTACATTGATTTTTCTTTTCAAATTCCATGTTTATATATGTATGCTCAAGATTTTTCCATTGTTTTGAAAATAAGAAAAATTGATTGTCGATTCGGTTCATGCATGAATTTTGAATTTGAATATTTGCGTTCGATAAAATAATTAATAAATTAATTTACATGAAATATTTGCATTTTTCTCTCTCTCTCTCTCTCTCTCTCTCTTATTTTGTAATAAAAAAAAGAACAACAATCTAATAGACAGAAATGGAATATGACTTATTCTATATGTTGGTAAATTGTGTTTCTTCCTCAGTCTGATTTTATTTTATTTGAAATATTCGATGACGACGATGTTGATGACGATGTGAGACATAGACGTTTAACGGCATCAGCATGACATGATTTACGTTTCTGTGACATTATTGTACGTTGATGCACGAGAGTTTTTGTTCGATTTTCTTCATTTTCTATAATTACCGGTAGAAGTGCATTATTGGTTGACGATATTTTAATTAGTGAGTGAATTAAATCACAAAAAAGTTTACGCGATTGTACAAATGTTGAACGTATAAGTGCTGAACGACGAAGACTTTCTGTATTGCGCGTTGATTGTAATTTGTCAGTAGATATTTGCATTATACGAATGCAATAAAATAGATCATCCATGTTTTATTATTTATCTGAAAATGAAATGCAACGGTAAAGTTTTTTGTATTTCTTCTTCTTCTAATGGCATTGTATGTGTCATTCTTATGTCGTTGTTTCATTTTTTTGAATATTCTTACATCATTCATTCATGTCAAACAAAACTACTGCGCATAGTAATTTCTTTTTTTTATTCCTACATAGATATGAGTAACAGGGAATGCTACTCTCTGGTACACATATAACACAAAAAAAACAAGCAACTGACGGTAGTAACAGTGGATGCGCGCCATTACTCTTCTTTTCATTCTGTCTTTCCGAGATGATTTTTTAGTAATAGAAAGCAAAAAGAAAGTTTTTTTCTTAGACTTTTTCTCTTCTTTTTTTTCTTCTCTTTCCTTTATAGATCAATCGATTATATCGATAGTCACAGAAGAAAAACAACAAAAAACAATAAAAAAAAAAGTTATGTAGATCTCTTTTTTTCTTTCTTTCTTTCTTTCTTTCTTTCTTTCTTTTCAATAGGATTCAGTATATAATAAATAGCTTCTAGTTTCTTCTTACATCTATCTTAGAAATTAATAAATCTATAAGTGTTTCAATTGTTCAAGTGATGTATGAAGATATAATATTTCATTTTCTTTTACACTCGACAAGTTTTTCTTGTTGTGTTTTTTCTTCTTTGCATCGGAATTGTTGAGACTATGAAAGCTAAAAGAAGAAAAGTTGTTTTTTTTTTTGATTAATAATTGAATGTTTAGTCTACTTAAACTTGTATAAAATTCAAGCAATGTTAATTTAACAAGACTCTTACTTTCTCATATGTTGGGGTGTGTATTTTGCTTAACAATATTTAAATAACGTTAATGATAATTAAGTATGTTCTCTTGCTTCATTGCAATTAATATGTTTTTCTTCGATTTTGATCTTCACAGTTGTTCAACTAACACATTGTGAAATATACATAAAATGATTATGTGAAAACCGCCTTTTGTTTTTTCTTCTCCTTTCCCTTATCATAATATTTGGAATCAACACACATACACATCCGTAAAAGTGTTGAATGAATACCTGTTAGTTTTTTTTCTTTTCTGTTTCTTCTTCTTCCTGCATGTATTCACTTCGAACAAACATATATTCTTTGTCTGTCTCAATTTCTGAATCAAACCTTTGAGTAGACATTAACAACGATAACAAAAGAACCGAGAGAGAATAAACGATGAGAAGATAAATTTATATTATAGTCAATACACGCACGCACGCACTTCATTGATTATGCGCACACCATCTTTGTCTTCTCAATCAGCTACTTACCATCTTCTTTCGCTCCTTCCACACGCATACTGCTTTGCTTGTCGCTGTCTAGTTTTTGCGTGCTTTCCGTGTAATTATGAAATTCTAACTGAAATAAATGAAAACGAGAGAAAGAGAGAGAGAGAGAGAGAGAGTGAGGAAAAACGTTTTTCTACACATCCATGCCAGTTAATAGATTTTTTTTTCTACGAGTTTAAGAAGAAAATTCCTTTCTTTTCTCGACACATTCAAAACAAACAAGATAATACTGTTAAATTACCTGTAAGAACAATAACTCGTTTATTAACAACTACAGTAAAATCGTCCGCTCGTCCGTAAAATGTCAAGCTACTTATCTGACAAAGCTCAATATCGATTTGGATACAGCATGAAACGAGCAGAGGACGTGTGACATGTACATGAGACAAATAAATACAAATATAAGAACGTTGAGTGCACTATATATATATATATATATATGGTGTGTACACACACACACACACACACACACACACATTTATATATATATAGAAAAAAAATTGAATGAATGTTTCAATTTACTTGGTAAATGTCATCATTCAATATTGTCACTCAAGAGAAAGAGAGAAACATCAAAACAATAACAATACTCATTGCATTCGGATTATTAAAAATATGTGTGTTTACCATCAAAGTAACAATTTTGATTGTTTGATGATGTTAGCAACTTCGCACAAGAGCTTTGATGAATCAATCAACACATACACGCACTAGATTTGCCTATATATATATATATTTACATAAGCAATGTCGTGAATAGATAACATTATGATAAAGAAAAAAGATTTCAACATAATTAAACTCTATATCTATTCATAGTAGAAAATGTTTTTCACGAAATACTACAACTGCGTAGAATATATTGCATTTATGAATCATTACTTGACAATAAATGTAAACTAAATCTGAAATAAACTATCCGCATCATTTGTAATTAAGAACAGAGGAAAAACGCACATACATGTAGCACAATCGCTACGTGTGTGTGCGTGAATCTTGATGGTATGACATGCGTGTGAACGTGCTAGAAACTAAACTCTATTAGCGTTTACATATATCATAGTTTGTTAATGTCGAATGCTTAATATATCTCTCTATGACAGCGTATACAAATCAATGTTCCTTTTTTTTTGTCTTTTAGAAAACTTCTCTGTTTATTAATACGTGAACATTTTTATATTGACACTTTCATTTCTAAAAACAGACTTCTTTGTCATTCGATTATCTACTTACATTACAAAGGTGCTCAAAATGTGGAACAGATTTTGTTTTCTTTGCTTTTTTTATTTAGGCAGTGCAATGTACTCTTACGTTAGTATAGCTGATTAATTTTTAAAAAGAAATAAAATATGGCATATTGCAAAGAGTACAAAAATTTTTTCATGAAACAACATTTGCGCTACAAAAAGAAAATGATAAAATTTTGAAAGTTGGCATTGAATCACTTACGTATTAGTTTTCATAAATACGACTCGTTAACATTGACATACAAGATTGCACGAAATTCTAGTCATCTTACCAATACATACGGATAATATTTCTGTGTAATTCATATATGTGTTGCATAAAGAAAAAACCAGAGTATATATCGATGCCGATAACTACGAGGATAACGTTCTTGCATAGATTTTTTTGTTTCGGAAAAGAAAACAGCATCAACACTTTATATATATCATTGTTCTTCGTTCGTATGCAAACATTGCCAAGTATTTGAACACTCTCTGTCGCTCGTTCTCAGAAAGACAAAGTTATTGACATAACTGTTTTTTCTTCTAAGAAAAATCTGCTATGCACATTATCCATTAATATATATAATATATTATTTAATTATATATAATAACAGTTTCTGTATTTTTCTTCGTATGTAACACTTGAAAGTATGAAAAATGTCATAAGTGACAACTAATTTCTATTCATGAAGTTTAGCACCTTTTGTCTGCTATTTCTACGGGTCTCATGTATGTATATGTTAAATAGTATAATTACAGAAAGTATTTTGATGAAGTCATTACTTTATTAATAGAATAAATTCGTCTTAGACTCATAGGAACGTAACCCATTTTATTCTTGAAATATTAATTATTTTCTTACTCGAAGAAAATTGCCTTTGAAAGAAAAGACTTTCTATCAATATTAATGAAATAAATTAACATCCTAAAGATTCTCTTGAAGAAAGCAGATGATCATTTTTTTTCTTCTTCTGTGATAATAAACAACCATATTGAACTAGTCTCTAGATAATTGGAATATGATAAATTATGTATGGAAAATAAAAATTTAGATAATGACTTGAGGAAGAAAACCATGGGGAACACAAAAAAAAGGTTTCAGAATATTCTTCTTCTTTCTCAACTCTGGAAATTTGTATAACTTAAAACAAATAATTTATAGTTTACTGGAATGTTTTACGCAAGCAGCAGTATAAAAAATCAGACTGAAAACTATTAATAATTGCTGTACTTAACGTTATAATTGCCAGACTCTTGAGTTTAATAAGTCTTTTTTTCTAGCTCTTTTCGCATCTCAACAATTACTAATTAAAGCGTTTAGCATTCAAGAAAAGAATTTTTTGTTGTGGCATTGGTATACTTGTCGTTAATTCAATCGACAACAATAACAGTTTATTTGTTGATATTGTTGTTCGCAGCATGTGTAGTTTTTGAGAGTTTCCTAGTTGTTGACATATTTTTGTGACATTTTCTATTCTCTCAGAATCACTAACAGTCTTTTATATATAAGATAGAAATTAGGAAAAATTGCAGAAAAGAAAACATCTTATAAAACAAAAAAAAATAGCAGGTATCAGCGCTTGTTGATATTTGATAAGTGTGTGAATATTATATGAAACTCATGATGTTTGCATTTTTTGACATCGTCAAAACAAAGGCTGGATACAATTACTTTTCTAAGATAACTCTAATGTTTGTTTCTAGTCCTTGATAAATATACAAACGAAGAGATCAAATTACGGTTCGTACCAACTGCCATGCAATAGTGCACTTTAGTTTTGTAGTTAATATCTTCTATGGTATTTTCAAGAGCTTTCTATTTTTTATTAAAAAAAGATATTTAATGGAAAGCATTGAGGTGTAACTCTCTTTTTTTTTCTTTTCAGTTTAATGAAATACGCTAAGTGACCTACATTCTTGCTTATGGTTTTAAGACTAAAAGGATGTAAATGGGAACTTGGTTCTAGTTGATTACATAGAATGTTTGCAAAAAAACCATCAAAGTCGATATATATTTCTTCTAGTTTATATTTATAGTAGACAGTTTGCCCTTTAGTAGTTCCTATACATATATACACATACATGTATAGGCAAGCTTGACGGACACGCAGCGAGAAAATATTTATCTGATATTTTTACAAAAGATTCCATCAGTACATTGCTGCTTTAATGCAGCATCTACTTTACAATCTAGCTATCGTATCTTTAAGATTTATGAGATTTTGTTGATCACCCGTAACGACAATCAAATGGAGAATAATGAACGATCGGAAATTTTGTAGACAAAAGATTGCGTGATGAAACATTTTTTTTGATAATAACGACCGGAATAAAATTTTTTCCTTGTCGGTTACATTTCTGAAGGCATCTTCTATCGTTTTTTGCTGATGGCTCGGCGTAAAAGTAATTAATCGTCGTAACTCCGTTTATTCTATGCTTGAATAGAAATAGAAAAGCGCC